CAAGTTTAAAAATGTTGTTAAAACTGTACATCAACTTTCATATAGGTATGAAACAGATAACTTTCATACAGGAGCTTAAAGATGTATATAATTGTTAAGATACATCCCAAACAGAAATAAGAAATATAATGGGAGAGCATCATGTTTACAACTCAATGAATACAGGCCCTAAATCCAGGTGTTCTGTTGAGCTGAGGAATCTAACAGTGGAATTTATCAGTATTTTTCTGTTATAAGACGTCAAGAATACATGGGGGAAAAATATATATATTCACATACATATATACTGTGGTAAAGTAGTAGGAATGGGCAAAGATTCAGATTATTTAAGTTCATTATCTTGAACCTTTCTCTAAAACTAAAAGTAAAATCAATTTTACGGGACAGTGCTATAAATTGGCAAAGATTTAAAAGGAAGAACTTGTTGGTACTTGTCATATACTCAGGAGCGCTTTACCTCAACAGATGAGATGATTACCCCAATAATGATTACATTATTATAATTTCTTAAGGAGGAATTAATCTTAGAAACAAACAGTAAGGAAAACCATCATAAATGGGTCCTTGTGTGTTTCAACAGACTTTCACAATACTCAGGCTAAAGATGCCAGACAAAGAAATTACTTTAAAAAGAAATCTCAATACTTGGGAAACAGATTTCTTTATAAGAGTACTGATTAAACAGAGGAAGTTGTCATGAGAGGAAAATGTAGCCCTGCAATGTCAGGCTTAGACTATGAAACAGAACATTCACCAAAGGCCAAGTTTTCAGTACACATCCTACACAATAATACCCTCTTTATTCAAAAATTCCTTGGTACTCAAAATTCTAATAATTTCTGTTTCTCTTTCCCAACAGAACTGTGCCAGGCATACCTAGATTTTGGAGAAACTATCTATGGACGCTGTATTCTCTAAAATAGGGAAATTTACAATAAAAGATTTGAAAAAAAGTCTATATGCCTTTGACAAAGATCAGAAAATCTTTATCTCCACTAGCTCTTGATGCATTTGTCAGCATAAGCTCTGAAATAAAAGGGGGAAAAAAAACAAATAACAAGTATATACTAAGAAAATAAATCATGAGAAAATCTCAGAGATTTTAATACTAAAATCTCTATGATAGTATTACTATTTTCAATAAAACCAGTGATTGAAATAACATTAATAATGTCAAGTTAAACTGGTATGTAAAAATCATCCTCAAGAAAATACAAGCTAACAGTATATTCTTAGCTTTATATAAATATTTTAAACTTATAAATTATCTATGATATGTCTTCTCTATTGGTAAGCAATACTGCAGGCCAGTAGTGCTACAAATGCTTAACGCTTTTGGCAGTGAAAGTGGATCAAGAAACATGAGAATATTGTTAAGACACAATGTGCTTCTGCCTACTGTAAGGCCTTATAAAACAGAAATAAAGGCTTGTTTAATGTCACCTACCAGAAAAAAGAAACAACCTTTCTGGCTAATGCTTTAGTATTATTATCAGAAAGTATTTTAGTATTTATTACTTTAACACCTGAATGGAGGGTAGAGGGGACTCCAGTGCAGACAAGTAAACTAGAAGCTTGTGTGTAAAAGGTGATGAAATGATTTCAGCATAATGAAGAAACATAAACAAGTACCTACAGTTAAGTGGTCCCTATCAGTTCACAAATATGAAAATCAGACACACTCACAGAAACATTCTTATATTAAAGCACCAGTCAATATGACGATCATCTTTACCAAAAAAAAAAAAATCATTAGCACTTCACTATACAGCATTGCTCTCTGTGGAAGTTGGTTATAAATCTCAGGTAAACCTATTTATTTTTTCTTGCAACTCTGGACAACAAAAATGAAGTCTGAAACCCAAAGCTCCCTATTAATTTTCTCTGGTTTCCCCCAATCCTCAGACCTAGCTCCCCAACATATCCAGCAACTGGATACATCACCACTTATCAAAAGAAGTGAGTGAGAACCTGATCTAAGTAATCTCCACTGAGGGAGCAGAGAGCATAACCGAATGAACACTTTGAGCTCTTCGCTTAAGATCCACTCAAAGCACAAGAGCTTACTATGCCTTACAGTGCTACGTGACCATTTACCAAACCCCTACTTTTAATTCCCAAATGTACTGGAAACATATAACCCAGGTAAACTTGAAGTCTTCCAGAAGAGAACAGGGCCACTGCAACTGTAATTTAATATTTTCTTATAGTACCAGGAAAAAGCACCTTTCATTCTTGGGCCTGACAAAAGCAGCGGGGAAGCTTTCTAAAGAGAAGGGGACTAGCAAGGAGCATGTGACCTAGTCTAGGTCAGATGAGCACTAAGGGTAAGTTGATTACTTGCTAGCCAGCAAGTAATCTAAGAAAAGAGAGCATTTTTAAAATTATGTATCTTCCCAAAAGTTTTAGTCGACCTACTATCAAGTAAGGCAAGAAGAAAAGCTGGGGTCACAGCTGCTCCTATAATCACTACTTGTCTCAGAGTAGGAACCTAACAGATTTTCTTCCTCACTTATGCAAGACTGATTTAGATGGAGAGCTGTGCTCTTTCCTTAGTTTGTCATATATCAGCAGTTTTAGAATACAGTATTAGCTCTATTTCCCAGATGAATCTGTTAAAAAAAAAAAACTTGTATACCATAATTTTAATTCAAATTACAAATGCACTGAATGCTCAATTTGGGAAATTTCATCAGAATCTCCAGGGGAAAAAACAAGGGGAGGTCTTTGTGTGTAGGATTTGGTAGAAGCAGATATATCACCAACCCTAAACAATCTGTCAAAAAGAGAACAAAGAACAAATAGCAGTTGTGTTCCAATAAACCTGGAAGAAAGCTGAGTGCCAAAGAATTGATGCTTTTGAACTGTGGTGTTGGAGAAGACTCTTAAGAGTCCCTTGGACTGCAAGGAGGTCCAAACAGTCCATCCTAAAGAAACCAGTCCTGAATATTCATTGGAAGAACTGATGCTGAAGCTGAAACTCCAATACTTTGGCCACCTGATGTGAAGAGTTGACTCACTGGAAAAGACCCTGATGCTGGGAAAGATTGAGAGCAGGAGGAGAAAGGGACGACAGAGGATGAGATGGTTGGATGGCATCACTGACTCGACGGACATGAGTCTGAGTAAACTCCGGGAGATGATGATGGACAGGGAGGCCTGGCGCGCTGTAGTCCATGGGGTCACAGAGAATCTGACACGACTGAGCGACTAAACTGAACTGACTGAAACCTGGAAGAAGAGAAGCAGATCTGAAAGGAAAGTTTAAGGATGACGGTGCAAGTCAAGAAAGAAAAAGGAAGTGAGAAAGCAAATGACATCACATATATTAATACATATACACAGCTCAAGAGGCCAGAATTAACCCTAATTTTTAGACCTACTGCATTTCCTACAAAATAAGAAAATAAATCCTGTAGAATATTCTATATTGTTATAGGGTATGTATGCATTTTTATTCTTAAACACTGTCATTCAGAACCTCCATAAATTCCCATTTCTCTACCCAAATCTCTCCTCGACTTCTTGTGATTTCTAATAAATTTCTCTAAATAAAGTGACCTAACATAGATAAGACTTGAAAAATTCCTAGAAAGAAACCAATGTTTTATTTACAATCTAAACGGTCATAATAAGCTAAGAAAGATAAGATCAAATACAGAATTTTTTAAATCCCTAGGAAATAAAAAATCACGTTCTCTGATGTAAACTATGTGCTTCTGCCTTATGTGCAGTCAGTCCTCTGGGACACACGGGCCACAACTGTTTTTCTAAGAGTAGTAACACATATACACTCATGGAGAGTCCAGGGCGGATCAACAATTCGCAATTCGTGAACTGGAGGGGAATGGTGTGTGATCCGTACCCCAGTGATGCTCATGGCCTGTCTGAAAAGTAAACTCACAACCTCTGTCTCAACAGCACTGCACTCCAGATGCTAAAAATTCCAACACTAACGTGGATTTAGCGAGGGTGGGGGCAGTGAAACACTAACAACAGGGAAGACATTTGTATAGTCAAGTCTATGCAAAGTTTTCTATTAATGGAAACCAGCTGCAAGAGCAGAAGATGGTTTTCAGGATTTAAGCCCAGTGGAATACTAATGGGTTTTTTTTCTATTCCAAGATTCCAAACTGAAACAAGGCCCTTTATCTCATTATTCCCTGAGAGTCCCTGTCACTCCCAAGAATTACCTTTCTAAAGTAACTGCTCCATAGCCCAAATTATCTATTACAAGATGTGTGCCATGGCTCTGAAGAGCCATTCAAACCTACTCCTTATATGAGAAGTCATGTGATCTCCAAAGAAATACTGTGATCAAAACTCTGTTTTAACTACGTGACCCACAAGACCTCTGGCAGAGCCCAATTTAAAGTTGTAGAATTCAGACTTCACATTCATTATCAGGGATTTTCACCCTTTACAAAACAAAGTAATAAAATATTCACATATGGCGGTTGTTTCCACCATAATTCTATTCTGCCCCAACTTAGTTCTATGATTTAAATGTTTTCTCTCAAGCCCTGGCTAATTAATTTTTCTCCCACACAGCTCATAAATCAATTGAAAAACTGTTTGCATGTAACCATCTTAATAGTTAATATATACCACCACCTTCCCCAACACCAACAAAAAGTATGTATGCTCTGTTTTCCTGACAATGACTACCAGTTCTTCCAGTATCAAGCTTATTTAACATCTGATTTGTGCAAACTGCCCCTAGGAAATTCAGGCAGTGGTTTTACCCATAATGGGAAAAATCATTCACATAAGCTTTTAAGAATAGAAATAGATGAACACCTATTTCTCATGCAAGATTAACTCAGAAATCTTGTGGTGAATTGGAAGAAAAGATGTTAATTCCTAGAATCTTAAAGGTTGATTAAAATACAAGACACCTCTGGTATCCCATTGAAGAGACAAGTATATCTGGATCAGATCACCATCAACTCAAAAACCGTTATAAAAGTGGTTTTAAAGTGAAAAAGCAAGAAACAAACCTCAATTTTATCTGTTTTGGCATCTCCCCAGTATATTTTGCCTTCATCATAATCCAAGGCTAAACCATTGGGCCAACCAAGAGAAGTGTTAACCAACACTACTCGATCAGAACCATCCAAAGCTGCTCGCTCAATTTTCGGGATTTCTCCCCAGTCAGTCCAATACATGTACCTACAGAAGTATACAGAGTATGAGCTAAAAACAGATAATGAACTGTAAATTTCAGATATCCTAAAGGTGAGACCCAACCCTCTTTTACATTCGTTACCAGTTAACACCTAAGAAGGAAAAACAAGTTAAGACTTAAAACATACAAAGAGTCCATTTAAGACATTTATAATTGCAGTGTATAAGCTAGTAAAAATTTTTCAGATGAAACAGTGTTTTCTAGGAGTGATAATGAAAAATGCCTTCCAATAATGAGACTCTATGTTTAGATTTTTCTCCCCCCAAGATATTTTGTGTTCCTTACCAGCAACAATCTTCTCTCTCTTACTAGCTTATCATCTCTGACAGAAAAAGTTATCCCAGTAGTAATATTCAGATGGAAAACCAATTCCCCAAATAACTAACTCTTCTCGTACCGCTGATTCTTGTGGCTCCTGAGAGTTTAAGGGGCTCAAAGGCATTGGTATGCACCGAAGTGTAATAATTTGTCATTATGTTCACCCTCAGGATGACTCTCATAATAACAATTAATGTTGATGAGTATGTAGAAAGCTGTGTTTCCCTGAATCATGGTCAGGGTGTAATAGCCAAAAAAAAAAAAAGACAGACAGACAGACCAGGCATATAGCTGCATGTCCTGACCAAGTTTTAGAAATCAGGCCATTCATATATTTAGGGACATTTAAAAAGAAACATATTTGTTACCAAATCATCCTAGAAGTACTGAAAATGAGATGAAATTAAATTTTCTAGGGGAAGAGAAAGAGTTCTGAAAACAAGTTCTCTCCATATTTTTCATGGTCATGATGCAACCTCGGCAAAATCTGCAGCCAACACCCAAAGTCAGCAAGTATGGACTTAATTTAGAAAGAAAACGTATAACCTTATTCTCACCACAAAAAATAAATGATAATTATGGGATGTGTTTGAGTTAGCTAATGCCACAGTGGCAATCCAATTACAATAAATAAGTAGATCAAATCGAAAAAAAAAAAAAAAAAGAAAGAAAACGTATTCAAAACATTCAAGGAAAAAAACTAGCAATTCATTAACTTGAGGTTTTATTCCAATCACTATATTCTAAAAATGCATAGTCATTAAAGAACTATTTAATAGGGCGGGGAGAGAGGTGGGAGGGGGGACCGGGATGGGGAATACATGTAAATCCATGGCTAATTCATTTCAATGTATGACAAAAACCACTGCGATGATGTAAAGTAATTAGCCTCCAACTAATAAAAATAAATGGAAAAAAAATAAATAAATAAATTAATTATTTAAAAAAATAAAAAATAAAGAACTATTTATTGGAAAGCAACATATACTTCATGTTGTTTTTGTCAATGTTTTGGGTACCTGCAAAAATAGAAACCCCTGGCAAAATTTTCTGTCAGCAGAGCCTCTTACCCAACCATGGGATCTAGCACAATAGCCCGGGGTTCCTCTAAGTCCTCTGAAATCAAGATCTTCCTCATGGTCCCGTTGAGCCTCGTCACTTCTATCCGATCAGTGCCAGTGTCTGTCCAATAGAGATTTCGGGCAACCCAATCGACAGCAATACCATCAGGATGGGCAATTTGAGCAGTGACCACAAACTGACTGCCAGATCCATCTATGAAGGAGCGGCGTATGGCCCTCACTTCATCATCAGTCCAGTAGATATAGCCTTCCACGGGGTCATAATCTATGGCAATGGCGTGGCGGATGTCTTCTAACTGTAGAACAATGTCAGTGAAATCTGGTGTATCCAAAGAAATGCGTCTCAAGTCTGTCCTTCGGGCTAAAAGCAGTAATTCAGTGGCACCTAGAACAACAAAGTGACAAACAATGAAGAAAAAATGGAAACCCACAGGCCAAATTTAGTCTCTAAATAAAGAATGCAGAACTTTTTCAGGAACTGAAAAGCAAGGAGTATAAAAGGATACTAGGGTCTATTTAGCGTAGAACAGAAAGTAATGCAGTAAAACAGGAGTAGCTGGACTAAGAGGTCATGCTCTGTAATGGCTGAACTCTTCAAATCAACTTCTGATTCTCTGTCTGGCTTCATTCATTATATAGCCCCTGGAATTAAGAACAGCCACTTAAAGATGAAATGAATATAACTAAGTAATGACTAAGAAGCTAAGTAGCTAAACATTAGAGGAAGGATAGGATATAGGTCCTTTGTTAAAGAAGGATGTTTAAAAAGGTAAGGAATCCAGGACAAGGATCTTCTGTGATTAATGAGAATGTTCTAAAACTGGATGGATTGTGATGGTCGCACAACTTTGTAAATTGACTAAAAATCACTGAACTGTACACTTGAAAAGGCTAAATTATATGATATGTAAATTACCTCAGTCAAGTTGTTTTAACAAAAAGAACTATAGGGCAACGTCTGACAGAACTGGTGACAAAAGAGGCTATGGAGAGGAAACAGCAGCAGAAAAGAGAGGGAATGTGAGGGGAGGTAACCAAATAAATGTGACCCCATGGGTAAAGGTGAGAGCTGTGCGTTTAACAGAACCGGATTCAAGCAGTTACACAAAGTCAGGCAAAACACCTCATCTCTCTAAGCCTGATATCTTCACCGATTATCTCACAGCGTTGCTGAGAGTCTTAGAGGAAATAAATACAAAACTCAGAAATGTACCAAATATATAAGTAATCAATAATTACTAGCTGATACATTATTTTCTAATAAACTCTTAAATTTTTATTTCACTGAGTTTTAAATCAGATGTATTTATGAAGTGTTTTAAACCCAAAACAGCAATCAATAAAAATACAGCTGAGAATGAGAACATTAACTCAATCTTGTTTTGATTTTAAATGCTCAAGTAAACCACTAGCAAAAAATCATCTAACATTATATAAAAGCTAATAAAAAGATAGCAAGCAAGTTGGCATCTGAAAGAGTGAAAAAAGATTCCCAACCAAAGAAATGAGTGAAAGAAAATACTGATATTAAACTTCAAGCATTAATCTGGAATTATAGTAGAAAAAACTGAGGAGAGAAGAAGCTCTCAGCATCAGCTTTTTGACTCATGGATTAATTATAAATAAACCCTACCTTGGAGAGAATACAGCCCTAAATGCCACAGTGGGCACCAAGCAGGAGTAACTTTATACAGTTCACTGCCTCTGCAAACTACCAAAAGGAGCCAGCCATAAACTCTTCAAACAAAGAAGTCTTAGAAAGTGAACCTGTTATTTTGGCAAGGTGATCGAAACAAAATAGCTAACTTAAGGCGGCTGCTGCTGCTAAGTCGCTTCAGTCGTGTCCGACTCTGTGCGACCCCACAGACGGCAGCCCATTAGGCTTCCAGTCCCTGGGATTCTCCAGGCCAAGAACACTGGAGTGGGTTGCCATTTCCCTCTCCAATGAGTGGAAGTGAAAAGTGAAAGTGAACTCACTCAGTCGTGCCCGACTCTTAGCGACCCCATGGACTGCAACCCACCAGGCTCCTCCGTCCATGGGATTTTCCAGGCAAGAGTACTGGAGTGGGGTGCCATTGCCTTCTCCAAAAGTAAGGCTACTACATGCCAAATGTATATCTGAAATTAAAATGCTCATTAAACAGGTACATTTGCACTGCTCTGAGGCTGTCAACCTAGACAGCTTATTAAAAAGCAGAGACATTACTTTGTCAACAAAGATCCATCTAGTCAAGGCTATGGTTTTCCCAGTGGTCATGTATGGATGTGAGAGTTGGACTATAAAGAAAGCTGAGCGCAGAAGAATTGATGCTTTTGAACTGTGGTGTTGGAGAAGACTCTTGAGAGTCCCTTGGACTGCAAGGATATCCAACCAGTCCCTCCTAAAGGAGATCAGTCCTGGGTGTTCATTGGAAGGACTGATGTTGAAGCTGAAACTCCAATACTTCGGCCACCTGATGCGACGAGCCTACTCACTGGAAAAGACCCTGATGCTGGGAAAGATTGAGGGCAGGAAGAGAAGGGGACGACAGAGGATGAGATGGTTGGATGCCATCATCGACTCAATGGACATGGGTTTGGGTGGACTCCAGGAGTTGGTGATGGACAGGGAGGCCTGGCGTGCTGCGGTTCATGGGGTCGCAAAGAGTCGGACACGACTGAGCGACTGAACTGAACCGAAGGCTGTAAGCAGACCACTATGGCTAAAATAAATCCTCTATTTTAAAGTCAGGCTACATTTTTTAACATAAAAGCAACATTACAAAAACCTTTTGTTTTACACTGAAACCAAATTATTATTTGCCATGGAAACCTCTCACAAGAATCAGCCAGTTTCACCTCTGACTAGGAGGATAATTTATCGATGCCAAGTCATGACAAATATCCTGTACACCAACTCAATCCCATCTCTCTGACTCCCTGATCCCCCTGTCAGGAACTCTAACCCACTCCTAAATAAAGGCTTCTACTTTTCAGAGTTAGATAAAGAGGCCACTGCTAAATATAACAATTTTCTTACCAGGTCATGCTGGTGGCTAGAGAACCAGATGGTGATCCATAGGGTTAAGAATGAAGAACAACATTCTCATTAAAAAGAAAAAGAGAACTGGCATTCTCCCAAACCAATATTACCTTGAAATGTCCTAAATCAGAACATTTCTCCAACATGCCCTCTCTCTACAGGGAACTGAGAGTAAGGAGAAGAGGCAGTGTGCTGGTTAAGTATAGCAACAGGCTGCTTTGAGCAGAACAATAAGGAATTCTTTTCTTCTTCTGAAGGCACTTCTCTGTTGTTAAAAGGTAATTAAAAATATCATTCAATCATTTTTCAGAAAATGTATCTATCCCATGATAGTCTTTATAATTAAAAGTTTAATAAACATCTTTTCCTTGCAGAGGTTCTTTATTTACAAATGCTACCTGTTAAAAATGTATTCTTTATGAGAATATTCATTTCCGCAAGAATGAACTGTGATATTCATGACTTTGAGACCTGACAGAGAAGAGAAATGGCACCTATTTTTTCCCCAAAAAACTGCATGTTAAAGATTCAGCTAAAATATTAAAATAATTTATAAAATAATATTCAAGAGATGCCATAAAATACAAAACACTCCCATTATATAAGCAACTGTGAAGACTGAGGGATTAAGTGACTAGTCTCCCAAAGCACTGTAACTTGCAGAGCTTATTACAGACAAATAAAATAAATCATACAGAATCCCAAATGCTATCTAAAATTCTTCCTTCGTGGCAACCAACTTCTTACCATCTTTGCAGGTTTTTCCATTCTCCAGGAGTGTGACCCCAGTTGGGCAAGCACACTGATAAAAAGGCTTGACTGGAGACATCAAACACAAGTGGGAACAACCACCATTATCAATTCCACATGGATTTGTAGCTGTCAAATGTAAATCACACTGATTAATACCAATGATTATGGATGACCTCCCCCACTCTAGGTACACAAAGGTTAATGACCATACATGAGCACCTCTGATAAACCAAATTATTACCAAATGTCATCTGGGTGCTTGACGACCAGACCATCTGCAAGGAAGGGAATTAAACAGTGAAAAATCTACTTAGCATTCTGTATCCAGAGAGGAATACACAAGAAGTAAAGGAGACTGTCCCTGCCCCCAAAAAAGCTTGCAATCTAGCCAGTAAGCCAAAATTCATGAACAGTAATAATGGAAAACAGTACAGAACAATAAAATTGAGATTGTGCACATTCAGACTGTAAATAAGTATAGAGTCAAATGGGAAGTAAATCACTAAAGGATTGAAGAACTGAAGAAAAGCTTCATGGTAGATACAGGACATGGCAGAGACTTGAAAGACAGGAAGGACAGATAGGACATTCAAGTGTGGTAAAACCACATGAATGAAAGCTTGGAGGCTGTACACACTGTGTGAGACAGTACGGTGATCAGAGTAACTGAAGATTAAGATTTGACTAACAACAATAAAAGCTGAATGAGCACAGAGAAGGGAATGTCTGTGGTGGAGGCACTGAGACTGAAGAAAAGCCACACTGTGGAAAGATTTACATGGAAAAGGTAAGCATGATGGATTTTAAAAGGGGAAACTGAGAACCAGAGATTAATTAGAAAATCTGAAGAAACAACAGAAAAGGACGGATTTAAACAATACTCATAGAGAAAATCAACATGGAAACAAAAAATATGAAAGACAAAAGGCAGTATCACAGATAACTGCAAATTCTCAAACAAGTAAAACATAAAGGATCAACAGTGCCATTAAAAAGCCAATGAGAGTAAAACATTTATACAAGTGACTAAACATTCTTTTTTTTACAAAAGAGTAACACAAACATTTTAAAACATTTTTATGAGCTCATGATCACTAAATTCCAATATGACATATTCAATATTTGACTATTTCCCCTTAAATGGAAGGAGCTAATACAAAGTAATGCATAATCCAAAAGCCCTGCATTTTTGGCTCTGGAATACAATCTGAAATATACTCAGACACATGTCAGACATTTATTTACACACAAGTGCCAAACACTTAACATTCTCTTGCAAGAAACTGTTGTCAGCTGTCACAGTCCAAATCATTATAAAGGGTGACCAGAAACAGGAGAAAAAGGAGGGGGAGATATACACAGAAAAGGGGTAAGCAAGTACTTTACTGAAGCAACCTGAGGTATGTAAATGAACTAGATACATTAATAATTGCATTAATTAATAATTAAGGTTTCCCTTCAAGGAGAGTGTCTGTTTCTAAACATACAATGAACAAAATCACTCATTAGTGAGAAATAATATGAATACGAAATGTATTTGCACAGAATCTTAACATATGAGCTATCTCAATTTTTTTTTGGTCTCTCTTCTTTACATTTATAACCCCAGACTAAAACAAAGCACTGAGGTGGTCTGCAGTGATAGATACTAAGCTACAAATGGTTTAGACTATTGTCTACCTTGAATTTGGACATTTTCCCGATTTTTTATTCCTTCCCACTCTGAATACATCCTCTCTCTTTTTGCCCCCTCACTAAAGCCAGACATCAGAGTGCTACAAAGCTCTTCCAACTTGCAATTTAAAAATCAAGATCACTTACCATTTGGCTGCCTCTGTTGGCTGAAGACATGTATATCCATGGGAGAGAAGATGTTAGAATGGATTTCACGCAGACCCTCGCCAGTGTACTTGTTGCAAGCCAAAATGGAATGTGTATTCCAGTCAGTCCAGTACAATGTGTCCTCAAATAACGTCAGGGCAAAAGGATGTGGAAGGGAACCTTTAACCACCGCCTGCCTAGTAACCCAAAGAGAAAAGCGCAAACATTTCTAAATTTTCTTTTTTAATCAAAACTTTATCGCTCCCACTGAAATGGTCTTGTAGTCCACATTAACACATATAAATCCTGGATAACACGTACCTTAAGGTCAAATATACCTATGAAAAATAGTCACAGAGTAAATTCAAACTTACTTGAATTCATGGTGTCCAAATTCCCCAACCAAGAATGCTTTCTAACTTGGCATCAGGCGCCAGGTACACTCCAAGCTAGCAGACAAAGTGAACGCTAATGTACTAGCACTGCTGTCAATTCCCATCTCACGTCCTTCCACATAACTCATGTCATCAGAAGGAGAAAGGCTGACAAAATGAAAAATCCCAGGGTGTAGATTGTCACTGGGAAGTAGTTTTAATTAGCAGTAAGCTTCTCCCTTCTTCATGTGGAGGAACAAAGAATCTGAGCCTGTTTCTTTGGTCACTTTTTATGGCTTTCATAAGTGAAAAGTAAAAACATGCACATGAGGCTAGAAAGTCATTCCGGGAGAGCTCTCTCTGCAAGCCCCAGATTAGCTTCAGCAAATGATCATCTTAGCTGGCTTTCTGCTGTATGGTTACTTCATCTCCACAAGCCAGGGGGCAAAGAGGAAGCCCAACCACTGGCAGAATGTGTTCAAGAGACAAAGCAGATCCCCAAATTTACAAGCAATCCTAACTATATGGAAGGAGAGGTAGAGAGCCTGACCAGTACTCAAGACACAGAACTTTGCAGTCTCATGGAGAGTTATATGATTGATTAGTAAATAAGAAAATTCTTGAATAAATTACATTTAAGCCACAGTAATAAATCAAGAAAATAAATGCTTTGATATTTTCATAATACCAAATCTTAATATTTTCATAAATCACTCAGCGAGGAGAGAAAGAGGAAAATGTAAGCAATTAAAGAGAAATAAAGGATAACACACTCAAAGACAATCCAACTTTTAGGTCCGTAAAGTTATCTGACAATCTCTAATACCTAACAGACCACCTATACTAAATTAAAGAGCAGTAAGATCATTTTCATCTAAGCAGAATTAGCATGTGTTATTATACATGGAATGGTTCTAGCCTAAGGTGCTTAAAATTTGAGCCAGATTTTTAAATAACTTTATTCAAGATTAGAATGACTAGTTTCACAAACTTTCTATTTTAAAGCCTCACAACTATGCCACACATCACCACAATTTTCTCCTCTCATTTTTCTTAATTCTGACTTCCCTAGCATATTACTTTCTCTCTCATTTCTCAATAACAACTGTCACAATGTCTACTTCCGAAGTGGCTTCTTTCACTTTTTAAATGAACAGCTTTATAACATTTACTAAAATGATTGTTACTATGTGAGTGATATCATAGTTCAAGTTCAAATTTAAATAGGCCTGCGTATTTTACACTTAAGTATCCCAAAATTCATTAAGTTAAAACATAAACAGAGAGAGTTCTAAGAAGCTGCCAAGAAAGTAAAGTAACATGATTGAGAAATATAAGTAATACTAAAGATGAAATTACTTAGGCTTTCATTAGACATCTTAAAGTATCAGAATATATAATCAGTTCTCTGAAAGACTTTGGGGGGAAAAAAAAAGTCTAAGTCCTTTGTATAATATTAAATAAAAAGTTAAAATTCACTCTAATGAACTTAACATAGAAGAATAAACAGACAGCAACAGACAAAATCCTTCTCTAAAAGATATATGCATTTTACAACCTGACTGAAAGCATTTATGTACTGATAAGAAATGAGCCTGGCATGCTGTGGTCTGCTGGGTTGTAAAGAGTTGGACTTGACCCGGCAACTAAACAACAAGAAATGAGACAGAACTGAGTTCAAATGTCCCCCGGCACTTACAGTAACTTACTTCCACAAATTCTGTTTCCCTCACCTGTTATTAAAAGATGATAATCTAACCTGAGTTACTGTGAAGATTAAATCATAATATATGAAAAAGCATTTAGGCATTATGCTTAGTACTTAATAAACATTTCACAAATGGCTCCTCAACTTTAGGATGTCTGTTTTCAGTATTTTAGTATTTCTGATACAGGGATAATACTTTATAATTTTAGTAAACATCTCATGTGCTAGTTTTTAAGTCAATAAAAAGCTTACTAGAATCAAGTAAATACTAGACTTTGGCTTATTTATATTCCCAGGATCTCACACAATACAGTATGCATGAATTAGTTAGATTTATCACTCAATGAATGCCTGATAAAATGAAACATTTTTAATGAAATATGAAATTAACAAAAAGCACAGCTAAGACGGCTATCACTCATTGTCATATTCTTTGGTAATTTGTCTAGCCAATGGTAATCTGTTCCTGAAAGTACAGATTAGTGTACACTGTCTTCACCTGTCTTCCCTCTGGTTGGGATTACTCCCCTGGAAACTCAAGTGAAAAAAAGGAGTTGATCATGGATACTGAGAACAAACGTGGCAGGCAAGATTGAAGCCCAGTTCTTTAGTAGTGTGCCTCAACCATAACAGGAATTAAAAAGTGGATCACTACAATGGGTACCAAAAGAAAGAAACCAAGACCCCAAGTGATGTTACGCTTCAGTGCTGGCAACCTCTAAGCATCATCTCCTCCACCTGTCCATCATTTCCTTAAGAGTTCATTCTTGCCAGTATCCCAAGTACAGGTGTGCACTTGCTATCTATTTCAGATTCCACAGCTGACAGGTGCCTCTTTCAAATTCTGCACCAACCAGACTTACCCTTTATAAAACACTTGTGCACTTGTATTCACTTTCTGTTTCCGGACCTCCTCCCAGAAAGTTGTCCTCTGCCCCTGACTCAGAACTCCCCATCTGTGTCAGAAACAAATCTACTTAATCACACCAAAGCACTACTATGATAAATTCTGACATCTGAACCTAACCTTAGAGGAGAGTTTCTCCACATCACAGTGAGGTTTTTTATAACACCTAAAAATATGACAACAGTGGGAGCAGTATAGTATTTGAAAAAATCTCTACAAGTCTTTGACAGGAAAACAGAACAACTAGGAAGGAAAACCAAAACCTCATGGACAACACTTACAACAAAGACAGGTAAGAAGGTATTACCACAAAACCCTAGACACAGAAAGGAAAACTACCAACAGCTCCAAGATCTGATTAGCATCAGCACTTCTGCAAGAGAAGTGCAGAAGGAAAAAAATAGGGCATTTGGCAGATCCAGGCCCAGGAGAACACAAACAGATAGCAATGGAAAGCTTCACAAAACAATCTGAGAATAGCAGCTGACAAGGAATGGCTCTGGCCACTTGGGAGAGTGAGTGAATACAAAGACTGGATGGATGGTATGGAAGGGACTGGCATACTAACAAGCAACTCTCTCACTGACCCAACAGAGCTCCCTTCCAGACAAAAGCCCCAATCTGACCATACACCACTGGGAACAGAATGAAAGTGAGGATGACAGTGCAAGAGAAATAATAGAAAATAAGGTGCAGAAAAAAGTGGCAGAAGGGAACAGAGCCAGGAGTTCTCACAAAGCAAGCTGCCAACTTTTCAAACACACACACTCAAGACTTCTGTGAAGTGAAAAAAGTCATGATAAATTCTAACTTCTTCAACAAGTTCCAGAAAAACAATTTCATGTAAAAATATAAAATATAATAAGATCAAGTCTCATTTTAAAAGTTAATATTAAAAGGACTTCCCTGGAGGCCCAGTGGTTAAGACTCTGCACATCCAGTGGAGAGGGCACATGTTCAATGACTGGTCAGGGAACTGACATCCCATAGGCCACAGACGTGGCCAAAGAAATAAAATAAAAAGTTAATATTAAAAACAAAAAAGAATAAAGAAAATAACATCCCTAAAGACAATACAAATATGCCAGAAAAACTGGCTCTAGAACAAATAGTTTACAACCTATTGCAAAATACTTTAAATGCTTTATAGTAGTATACTAGTGATAAAATAACAAAAATTAAAATTTAAAACCTCAAACTGAGGTGAAAGAACTAATGCAAGAGTCAGAAGTCACTTCAATGAATTATAAACTAGGAATGACACAAGAGTGAATAAACGGAACAGATAAGGAAACAGAAACAGCTGGTGAAGATAAAGAATTTTTTTTTCGTGATTTTTTTCTGTTTTATTAAGAAATAATTAATATACTGGGTTAACCAAAAACTTCATTTGGGTTTTTCTGCAAGAAGTTACAGAAAACATCTTATATAATATTATACATATTATATGTGTGTGCATATATATATATATATATAAAAGGCAACGGTTGTTAAACTGGGTAAAACTAAACAAGATCCAACTGTATGCTGTCTACAGGAGACACACATACCCAAAGACCCAAATTTACTGAAAGTCAACAGTAGCCATAAGTGAGATGAAGTGGTCTATCAGATAAAACATACTTTCAGACAAAAAAATATTACTAGAGATTAAAGCAGCACATTTTATAATGACAATCAAATCATCATGAAGATACAGCGATTATAAACATACACAAGTAAAAACAGCCCCAAACAAATGAAGCAAAACCTGTCAGAACTGAAGGAAAAAATAAGACAACAGTAACAGTCTGAGATCTCAAAATCCTATTCTCATTAAAAGGTAGGACAACTAAACAGAAAATCATCAAGGATATGGAACTTTGAACATTAGGACAAGTATCAATTAATTTTAAAAGACTGAAATCATACAAAGTGTATTCTCCAAGATCCTGTTCAATGGCCAAAAAAAAAAAAAAAAAAGAAAGAAAGAAAGAAATCACTGCTTTTCCCCAAAGATCAGGAACAAAGCAAGAATGTCTTCTATTCAGCAGAGGGTCTAGTGAGTATTATGAATTAAGACTAAAAGGCAACCAGATGGGAAAGGAAGAAATAAAACTGTCATTATTCACAGATGACATGATTCTGTATGCAGAGAACACTAAAGAATTTAAAAGAAAAAAAAAAGCCTCAGACCTACTTAATTCAACAAGGTTGCAGCATACAAGA